CATTTCAGCAGTGTCCTGAACAGAGAGTTAACCTTTGCTGTAGAGGCAATGGCATCCCTGCCACAACTCTCCATGAAAGGATCGACTTTAATTCCTTTCAACTTGCAGTTACTCATGCTAGATAAAAAGAGCTCTACTCATCTGTATTATATTCTTACCTCTGCAGTGAAGGTTGTCTATAGGTTTAATGATAGATGGGAAATGAAGCTGGCTTGTAATCTCCCTCTTACTGAATGGTTGGAATTATGTAGTTTGCCCATTCAGTTGAAGTGATACTAAACTGCTTTTGGAAAACAAAACCATCCTTTTCACCATTTCAAATAACTCCAGGAATGTACTCAATTTAGTTCTTTAATTCTTTTCCATATTTATAAGATGAAAATGAACAGGAGTAAACTACCATTTGTAGTGTTTAAAGGTGATTTAAAAAGATATTATGCCTTGAAAAGATTCATTTTCACCTCTAATGGAAATTCTGCTAAATTCAGTACAAAATGGGGACTTTTTTCTTTCTTTGCTGTGTAACTGATTAATGTCTAAGGTGAATTGACTGTGTTTTGATTTCCTTTCTTTGTTAAATATAATGTAATACACCAAGAGAAACTTGAATAAAAGGCCCCGAGTTGGGGAAAAAAAACAACTTTGAGATAACCGGATGTGGTGCTGTGGACAGTTACAGAGGTATTTTTTTTTACATAAAAGCCAATTCTTTTTTGGAGAAATAGTCGGCCTACAAGATAAAATGATCTTTTAATTTAAAGACCAACTCCAACGATGATAACTTTTCTCAAAGTGAATCCTATTCAGAAAAGTCAAGTCTGATAAAAGTGGCACTATCAATATCTCCCTTGAAATACACATTTTTGTGTTAATAAAACATGGTTTTTGTACCCACTGCAAGTCTAATCTGGCATAGTAAAAATGGACGTGTCATCACAACTCAATAGCATCTAACAAATATTGTTTTTTGGTGATGTTTTACCATAGAGAGAAATACCACATTGTGTGTGCTTTAAGCATGCATAGCAAGCGTAGCTGCAGATGACAGCACAAACTTGAAGAATGCTCTAATTCTTCAGAAACTCAAGCGTTTCAAGAGTAGAAAATCACTTGAAGTTCCTGTGCACTGAAGTGATTTTACTGAGAGTAAGTGTCCCAGTTCCCTGAAACCAAATGAAAAGGAAGGGAGGCTTCATTCAAGCAAGGGTGTGGTCCTTATCAGTATCTTGGGTTTATTAGCCTGTGAGACTGAATTTGACATCAAAGTGATCTTCCTTTAGCTACCATAACAGATGTTTGCGAGTGACTTGGAATGGTATAAAGAAAGCAAGTGGAGTTGCAGCAGACTCAAATGAAGCCTATACCACAGCACTAAGTCTACCCCGTTGGCCATTAGTCTGCCATCAGTCTGAGAAAGTGGAGCCAGGCAAAGACTGGAAGCAAATGAGTGGACTGAAGTGAGACGGGTACTTTTGTAGATTGGAAACTCGTCTGGCCTTCGGGTGATAATGCCTCACTGCTGAAGTCACTAATCGCCCCAAGGTTAGTTGGGAGCTGGGATAGTACCAGCTTTCATTTTTTAATTTTTTTTTGGATGATGAGGAAGCCGATTGGGTAGTGAGGTTGCAGGTAAGGTGGGTTGACTTTATGGCTCCTGGACTGTCTGACAATAAGTCAGTCGCCAAAGTAGTGGGGCATCATGATGTACAACTGTCGTAGACGGGCGGTGACGGTCTTTGTAACCCAACAAAACAGACAAGATGGGAAAGCTTGGGGTTAATACGTCTTCCCTCTGTACATGAAGTGGAAGAACCTGTGGACACATTTGTGAGGAAGTTCTTGGTGTAAATGAATCTGTTTGGTGGTTTCAGATTGATGATGAGATGCCCTTTGTCTGATTTCTATTTAGGTGCAAGGAAGAACCTTGACAAGCATTTTATCTCAGACCCCAATGCGAAGCGTTAGTCTTTCAATGGGACTGGAATTTGGCCCTAGTGTCAGTCCGAGGCCGTATCTTGCAAGGAGTCTGCAAAAAAATGTAAACGGCCACAAGCAGGCTTAAGATTGGTGATCACAAGTGGCGAAGCGTTGTTGTCATTGGTGACACAACCAGAACACACAGGAGGCTCGCCCCAGGCGAGCTTCATTCAATCTTAGAATGGTGCAAGTTGAAGCTCAGTGATGAGTAGGATAACTCTGATGAGGCAAGAGTTTGGATTGGCAGGGATAGCACAGCTTGTTGTATAGCCACAGGCAGCATTTAACAGAACGATTGCTTCCTGATAGCGTAGATCCCTTCCAGTATGTCCAGAATTCACCAGTGGAGCAGTACTTGCCTTAGATTGGTAATGTCTGGAGGTGAGCCCTCAGTAAGTTGTAGCACAAAGAAGGTTTAAATAATGAAGCCCTTGTCTCAGTTGATTGATTGAGAAAATTATATCCCAAGACGAAACAGGTTTTTTTAACCTTCGTCAGGTACTTCCTGGTATCAACAACAGAAGTTGAAGTCTTCTGCAGGGCAGACAGAACATGTTATTCTCTGTCAGAGAGTGTACACTAGACCATAGTATACTGGGCTTAGGAACATAAACTTTTATACATATGACCAGGTCCTATCCCGTAAGGTACCAGTAGGGCTCTGAGAAGACAGGAACCCATCACCGGAAATAGCTGATGAGAACAAAATTAATATTTCCTGATCAACAAATGCAATTTCCACAATCCAGTTTGTCTATTGGCCCAATGACTACTGGCATTAAAGGAAAGAATAGAGCTAGCGCCCATATTCCCCCTTCATTTCAGTCCTGAAAGCACAACTAGAGGAACCGACCCATGGCATCTAAGAATTCATGGCTAGCCATAGTTTTGTTTGGCCCTGTGACAATCACAGTTAATAGAACTTGGGCATGCCCATATTGGGGTAAATACCGTTTCAGCCAGAGCGTCAGGGCAATGTCACCATCACTCCCATTTCAGTACAATATGGTACTCAATATGGTATCCGGACAAGACAGCTGAGGGACACCATATTTCTCTCTTACCAAAATTACGGTGGGAGAGGTGGTTATGGGATGAAACAGGAGCGATGCCCTTGGGCATTGATTTTTTTTTTTTTCACAGAACGAGTGGATGAATTGGATCCATGGCAGGCACATCTGGGTCTGGTGCGGTAGAAGCCAGCAGGGGCTTTTTGCTCAGACACCGACTAAGGGTAGCCGGCGTCCGAGGGAGCAGGAAGAGCTAAAGGCTGGTCCCCAGGCAGTCCTGAGATTGGCTGGTATGAGTCAACCACTGTCGATCGAAAGACCAGCCGAACTTACGTCCGGATTGCCAGAAATATGAGAAAATAACACTCTTACGAACAAAGATAGGGAGCTTGTACAAAAGGTCAGCACAATTTAACCGCACGCAGTCACCGCAGTTAAGCTCTGTTGCTAGGAACAGTGGCAACTGTGTTGAAGTTTACTCATGCAAAGAGCATTTAATGAAGCAGCCCCAGGATGAACGTAATTGTTATGTTGATGCTCTTGAATTATATATGCCTGCTGCAGCAACCATGGTCAAGCCGAACATTGTATGTGTGGTGCACAGACAGACCATCGCTGTACATACATGTTGGAATGTGTAAAATGGGTGCCTCATCTGCAATTCAAAGTGTCAGGGACATGAACGCGGTCTTCTCAGACTGTCACAAAAAACAGACTCTACAAAGGTGATTTGCGCAATGCCCGAAAATGTATGTTTTACTCAGCAAAATATATCGAATCACACACGGAGAGTGCTATCCTGTATTTCGACAGGCGCAGGTGTTCATGTACATGTATATGTACAGCATCATTCACGCGCATGTGTACACCCACACATATGCAAGGATTCTGAAAATTGTCTCTATCTTTACCCTGCAAATGATGTGACTTTTGTCATTTCATGAAAACAGAGAAACACAGAGGCTAAGCTTTTTGTTAGGTGTTTGTTTACACTTACTATAAAATTAAACAACATTTTGCTTTGAAGCTCTGCTAGATTGTTCTTTCGATCAAAGAAAGTAAAATGATAGGAAAAACTCCCGATCAAAAAATTTTCAATTTTCCGGGCTTTTGTCACTTCTTGAAAAACACTGAATGAATCAAATATTTTGTGATGTGTTTAGAATAGTAATATTCACTGTCATATGAAAACATGCTTAATATGCATGTGAGATTTAAAAAAAAATACAGGTGAAAGCATTACACCAGGGATTTTTAAAAGGCTTTCAATCGCCATGGATGATGACGAATTTAAATGGCATGCACATGTAGGCCTATGGGTACCTGCAAGAATGTGAAGATTCATCAACTGGAGCTCCCATCCAGGTAAGTAGTCTTTCCAACACAAACTGTGTCATGGAGGGGCATTAAGGGCTAGGGGACTGGATTCCAATAAATTAAATAGACGCAGCAGCCGCTGCTCTCCAAAGCGTCTGTGGAAGCATGGTGGAACCGACCACAGCCACGCTAGGGGGCTTTTTTAGTTCCTTTGATATGGTAAGTTGGCACAGGCAGTGGACAGTTGGCTGGTTGCTAAGGACCTATGAAAATCGCAGTGTCCATGTTCAAACTACGTTCAACGTTTTGGACAAGCTCCCTTACAACCATGACAACCACAGATGGTAATACACGTGTAATTTAATCAGAAAGATGAAACGGATGATCAGGTCAACACAGAACTGTGTAGCAACATTGGAGCTTAAAAACTCGAAGATGCCTAGAAAAGCACGTCCACTACATTACAGCACTGAGAAAAAAAGGACGAACATGGCAGCGTGACCGTAGTGCACAGTGGGGATACCAGGGATGATTAAGTCTTTTCAGCGAGTAACTACAGGTGCATGGGAAATTTGCATATGTAGTGACTGTTTGGGTTGGCAGAGTGCCGTAGACTGATTCTGTTTCACAGAAATCTATAAACATGAGTTACTGAAAATCAAATGTTAAAAAAATTGCTTGTTACCTGAAACATACCTTTCTAATATCAGACAGTTCATTTTCACTGACAACCAATTCTTCCTTCAGTATATCTAGCTCCTTCTTTTTTGCCATATTTGCCTCCTTCTGTCTTTTGGTTTTCTTTGTAGTGTCATGCTGAAAACAATGTGAAATATGTTACAGTAGACATCACTTCCAAACTCTTTAATACAACATGGAAGTAATGTGTCATTAAGTAAAGGTAATTGTCTTTTATAAAAAAATCCTGGCTTCTCCTAGAAAGCACACATTTGTACATGTCAAGCTTACACAGTGAGGTAATGGAAACAAGCAATATAATGAAAGTTGGGACAAATTCCTCTAGTTTATATTTCAAACTTTGCTGTAACTCCAGTATCTGTGAACAAATTTGTAATGCATGAAAACTCTCACGAAGAAAAGGTTTGGCCCACTGGGAACAAACAATCACATAAAAATGCACATAGAATTAAAAATAAATACACCACGCAACAAAACTTAACACAATGACTAATTTGAGAACACGAACTAAGTACTGAACTACTTTGTACATAGCAATAGTAAACAATTTTTAAAGCAAAACAAAGAACGTGAGATCATTAATGTGTTTATTTCTAGAACTCTGCCTCATGCAAAGCTTTGCACAATCAAAGGGGAGTTGGTGAGGAAAATCAAGACAAGTATTTTCATAACATGCACCAAAGCACTAAACACTTGTCTCATCAGAGGCGAGCTCTCTGCTCCTACCAGTATGGGTCTAACTCAAATTCTTAACAAAACAGTTGTGTAAAAAAGCTATTTCAACCCATTTTCAAAACATCTAAACTAACACAGGTTTGCCAAAAGTACACCACAGAGTCAGGAGAGATATCCCAGTGGAAAGAGAGTGGGTCGGATTTGTAAATCACTATTTACCAGGATAGTCCACTGTTGAAACTGTTAAATGAGCCAACCTAATCCTATAAGGTATTTAATACAAAATTTGCATTTTTGAGTATTTCTGGCTGTCATTTAAGATCAAACACAAATCAGTACCAAAAGAAATTCATGTCAAAAGCAGCAATCTTGTCAAAAACATAACATGAAATCCTGGTTGTCAAAAAAAAAACTCACCACACACTGCTTAAGATGCTTCTTTTCTCTGCGGGCATCAGCTCTTTCTTGGATCATATCCTCTTTTAAAATCATGATCCCTGTCTCCAGGTCCACAATCTATATTAGTATGAAACATCAACAATCACACTTGCCTAAGTTACAAATTGGCTTGTCATACATATGGTGATTAAAGCACAAATATGAAAAAAAAAACAACCATTGATTTTCTACTGCCACAATTATACATGTACTTGTGTAGTCAAAAATTAACTACTAAAATGCTTCCTGTTCCCACAGTGCAAACGACCAAAAGTCTTAAGCATACAGCAGCTTTATTTACATACTGTTCCAAAATAACTGCATCTGATAGTATTTCAGTTTTATTACCTCTTCAAGACAATTAGTCTTGAAGGGCAAATTGATTTACTTGGAAAAGTCCATTCAAATTGATCCACGCAGTCAAACTTGCTAAGAAATCCAATTTGTCTCGCAACAAGAGGTTTTAATAATCTATTTGGAGATATCATTAAAACAGCTTGGAAACAGGAAAAGCACACAGTATATGCAGCGAGTATGATACAACCTTGACAAATACCAACGTGAAAAGGAAAAAACAGCAAAAATTTTATAACAGCCTTGGAATAAAAAGATGAATTATTTACATTATGAAAGAGAACTGCCATCTAAGAAAAAGTAGCTCTTCCTAGAGTGTGAAATACATTACTCACTTTTTGATTGGCATCTCTCAGTTCATCCCTGGTTTCATTAAGTGCAATCTGTTTACTATAGAGTGAGAAGAAAATATAATTAGCAATTTCAAATGCCCAAAATGAATATGGATGTTCTAATTTAGGTTTAAATGTAATTAGTGTCACATTAGTGCACATAGAACTTCTGCTGTGGGAACTGCTGAAGGAAAGGAGCCACATCTCAGATATACAAGACTATAAAAAGACCATCACCTTATACACTGTACAAAAAACAATGGCAACCAAGGTGACATTAATATTTACAGCCACAGTATTGTAGGAAAAGCCACTGCATGAGTTGAGGGGTTGCAAAGTCTTTTGCAGAATGCATTGGTTGGATTCCCCATACACAAGACCACACTCCAATGTACATATACATGTACATGCACACACTTTAATAACTCAAAGCTAAGAATCATGTAATGATGAACACGTATAACTTGAATTGATCATAGCATGGACAGATTGTCAGACAACTTCAATTTAATTTCTGATTTGGTCTTTACTCTAACTTCTCAACCTCAAAGGCATATTAACTGAACCAAAAAAAAAGAAATTTTGAAGTCTTTTAGAACAATATTTAAGAACTTAAGCCCTCTGATAATATAAACCATAGCAATTTTCTTTAAAAGTGTTATGATATTGGTCGACTTGCCCAAGATTCAGGTCGGCAAGTTGTAATTACTACGAATGTACCTATATGTTGTAATAGTGGGGGCTTTTGAGATGCTTGGTGGCAGGAAACAACAGTCTTACCTCATGCTTGCACTGTGTTTACCTACTGTGCACAAGTTAAAAATGGCATAAATAGGAAATAAACTTAGTATCTACCAAAGATCCTATAGCGCCAAAGGCGCAAGATAGATAACTCTGCCCAAAAGGTGTAACTACCATGGCGCCACTTAAGCAAGCGATAACCCATATCGCTTGCTCAAATGGCGCCTATGTGATTACGACGTTTTACGTGTATTCGCGGTGAGGTTCTCCATCTTGTGCTGTGCCGCTACGTGGCGCTTTACGATCTTTGGTATCTACTGTCACAAAGCATCTCTGAAGTCCAAAATTGTTCGATAAAGTGTACATGTATATCATGTGCAGTATTTAACAAAGTGTTCTCTACCAATGCCATTTTGCACATAATTAAAACAATTTATGAATTTGAAGAATTTGAAGATGCCAAAATGGACATATCTGTGCTTTATTCTTTGCACTGAATGGGTTGTACGTTGCCAGACAAGAGTCCACATGATTTTTTCATCCAGGGCAACATATACCAATACACTTTCAACAAATGCTACGTCTTTATCTTGGATAGATAGTTCATACATTGACCCACCATTTGAGGCTATTTGAGGTATCAAAATGAAATTCCAACCAAATGGATAAGTTGCAGAGTCAGGGTCTGCAACATGTCCACTGCCAAATAGCCTCAGGTTATTTTGCGAGCACCTTCTTTGGCCCAAGGCACTCCTCTTTAAGATAAAACAGCTGGTATTCTCACTAATTTTGAGGATTGATATATCTTGTCATACATGTACTTAGAATTAATTGATTATTATATGAGAATTATTGAGAAGCAGCTAGGTGAGGCTGGTATGCAGTCACATTATGCTTTTGACGACAGCAGCCTATGATATTGTTGGGGTACTTGGTCCTGGTGATTTTGTATAATGGAATATTTGTTTCTTGTAATATGGAAAATGATAATTGACTATCAATCTATACTTGGCAAAAGTTGTGTACCCAACCGAATTCAGTGCACTACGAATTAATCTGATTACCTACATGTACTTCCCCACATGTAATTGGAATTTCTTTCTTGCATAGCCTGTGCAGACTGGTGTACTGTCGGTGCCTAGCCAAGCATGTGTAGGTTAGGGCGTGGCACAGCACCGAATTCAAGACAGTAATTCCTGCACATGCTGTCATGAGAGGAGTTAAGTAGAGAGCTGTTCTGTCTTCATTTCTCGCATTTCTTTAGTATGGTGGTCAGACTCTGTCAAGTCTGGGGTTCTCTCAGGTTTCCAAAGCACGCACTTTCTCACAAACCTCGAGTGTTCCTACTCGTTCCACATAGTCCCAACATTATTAGTTGTATTTTCTGTGTAGAGTCGCCCCAGTGGTTGTTCATCGTCATAATCATAAATTAATCGTATCCTCGTTAATATTGGTCTGCAACAACGGGTTTTAGTCCATTATTTCGTACCAGATATCAATGTATTCTTGTACGCTTATGCGATGTACTTTGCTGTGGTGTAAGTGACAATCTGCCCTCTCTCTAGCAGGAGTTTGTTCTATTAGAACGTAAGTTCATTTTTGTCATACCCTTTTTGCAACGTCTATCCTTAGCTTAGCGTTATGCACAGTTCTTGCCTATTAATTGACACATTTGTCTTGTAGTACATGTGGGCCACATGTGGGCTCCAAGTCAGGTAAAAAAATTCGTCATTTTGACTGATTTTGTTTGTCGCGTTGTGAAAGTTTTGTAGAAAGTTTGGCCATGTGACTTGTACACATGCATGAAGCATTACAACTGTTTCATGTTGGACTCAACGACTATTACATGTCTTAGAATTGTTTCATTGTGTGGTCTTTACACAGCTGAACTCTATAGAGAGAGTAGGTTGCACAGTGCCTTTTTGCCTTTTTACCTTTTGGTCTATCCTTTAAATATTCTTTTATCCCTTTGCCAACAGGCTCTGCCATATCTTATGACTTAAACCTTTTATTCTTGTAATTACCACAGCATAAAATTAAGCTTCTTTTTCCGTTACTGGTCAATCAATCCATATCATTGTCAACTCCATTCATTAGTGTCCACAAATGAGTAATTTTTCTCAATTTTCATATCTGGGCTAGTCCTAAATTTCTCAACTTGAATTCAAATAGAAATAAATCTGTCTTAATATACAGTGAGAATAATTCCTTGTGCCAATTCTTGATCTTTATTTGTAGTATCTAATCACCAGAGAGGTCAATTTCCAACTTAAAACTTAGGCGTACCCTACCACCGTAGGGTCTTTCCACCCCACGTACATGTATGAACATGACATTAGTAAATAGCCACATTGCTTCTTCTTTCATTTCAGAAGGCAATTTGGTCATGCGGGAATAGACCCTGATGAAGAAATTTTGGATATATTTCAAGTGTAATTTTGATTGACAAAGCAAGAATGGGTCAACTGAATTGAATAATAATATCATATTCTGGTTCAGTAGTTTTTGTGCTACCTTCATTCTACACAAAATGGTCAAATCACATTCTAATTGGGGACTAGATGCGCCGAAGTTTGTTTAACAGTTTCAAGATAATTCAATCAGAAAGACAAATTATTCAGACAAGCTGTTTGTATTAGTCATTTAGATCAGGAAGGCTGTATATATTCTCCTTTCACTGATCTGGCCTGTGCAGTATCTACTGTAAATATTCCTTATGCATGTTGAGAAATTTTGGGCAATGTGTGCATATATTTCATTATTAAGTGTTGATATTTTCGGCGTGCTAAAGGAATTTCCGTAACATAAAATTTCTGTAGAACAGAACATACACTGTATTCTTAGTTTTCACTGGTATAGATATGTACTGTAAAGTACATGTAACCATCTTCCGATTATGCAGATTATAGAAACTTCACAGGAGCAGTATTTCCTTTTTAATGGCTGTAAATCATGCCATTTGCAGAGTTGCTAAGGTCCATGGTTATCATACATGTACATATTGGGATTTTCTGATTTTTCTCTCTATACAGATCCTTCATACTCTGTAGCCTTATTTCCCTTGTTGTCACTTGTTTTCCCTGTAGTTTTCACTGTAATGCCACCCGAGTTTTTGCTAATCATACAATTCCCCAAAATTCTTGTCTTAGTAATGTACATGTACACTTATAAACTTGACTGAACTTGAACATTCATCAGCTGAATCTAAAGCATTTAAACCCTGAAACGCCTGGGTTATTTTGAACCCTCTCACAGCCAGATCAGGGTGGGTTCTGTCCTCCTCCTTCCCCCCACTCGGCTGTGCCACACTCAACTATTTTTAAACTTGGTATGCCTGTAAAGACACTCCTTATCATTACAAGTGTGAAGTTTGAACTCAATCAGATGTATGGTTTAGATGTTACAGTCATTTGAAGTCCAAAGCTACATGCATGCTAGTATGCAAGCACTGAGCACCGCTGTGTAAAAAAGTATACATTTTTGGATGACCTGTCTTGGGAAAAATGCATGCTGTGCAAGAACAGCAGGTTTGTTTTTCAAAAAATTGGTATCAAAATGACTGCAAAGAGTTACTTTATAAACTCCTGAAGGCTCAACTCCTGAGCAAAATGCACTGCGGCCATATCAGAAAAAATGCCGGGGGGGACATATCCCCCATCAGCTCTTTTACGGTTTACTTAGTCTGGAACCAAATGGCAGATTCATATTGCTTATAAGGCTTTGTTCTGCACATTGCAGCTCCACATCAACTCTGACATTGCTTTAAAACTTGCAGTGTGCTTTTCTTGCAGTTCTGCATCATCAGCTACAGGCAGGAACGATTTGTGACACAGCTCTCTTGCTATGCCATAGCTCTATTGCTAGAAATGTTATATTATAAACAAAGTTTCACAGATTAATGCAGCATTTCCTTTCCATTACGGCCATTTATGACATTATCTAACTATGTGGTTATTCAAGTTGTGCTGAAATTGGTGTTTTGTTATAGCAGCTGCAGGTCTGCTGAACCAAACACTTGTCTCCTATCAAGTAAAACCAAATAAGAAAAATTGAAAGACAGTGAAATAAAATGTGTGATTTCTTGCCAGATGACCCATTCACTGTTGGTGGAGAAGTTTGACCAGTACACATACCGTACATGTACACTGTATGTCTGAACCATCCACCAGTTCCAGAACTCGGCCTACTACATGTGTTGCTCCAAGTGCATTAACTTGTGTGCATTAACTTCTGGATGTAAATACAGTTAATTTACTTCAAGGAGGTTTCAGCAATGAAAAGGAAGCAGTGGCAGCAACAAAGACTCCAGTGATGAATCCATGGACAACAGTCAAATTTTAGCTATTTGTTTTTGCAATCAGTCAGTCAATCAGCCTGTCTGTACAGAATCTAACTTTTTAATGTCCTCTTCTTTCCTTGGAGTTAATAGCCCAGGTTGTTGTAAATGTGCCATGCTGAAGGCAGGTGTAGAGGGGACTCTTTTCACTCAGTTGTTTTTGCTTTATCTGCTTGTGTATAGGAGTTGTCCCCCTGCTTTTAACATTGAATTTCTTGTTAGCTTGCCCTGAATTTGCTAGGAGTGGTTCCCCCCCCTTTCCAAAATAATCCCCAGAGTAAATATCCTGCCATGCCCTATTGCACAAGGCCTGATGCATGTGAGTTCCTTGGATATAGTCAGATGCGGACCGGCAGCAAGAGAGACCACAGCATCCACCTTAACCTCTCTCTCAGTCTTTGTACTAAGCAACTTCTGCCTTCAGCTTTGGTCTGCTGTGAACTTAGTGAATTGAATTTGTAGATTATAAATTCTTAGGACTTTCTTACATTGTATCTTGATTGTACTATTTTTGATATTTTCGAACCAATGGAGTATTGAGATGAAAACTTCGATGGAACTCTTGGTTTTGTGAAGTTTTGAGTGCATAGGACTTTTGGCACTCAGGAATACACTCTTTTGTTTTGTTTTTAGCCATAACAATTGATTGCTTGTTACAAGACTAGACTGCTTTTTGTACTTTTGCTTGACTACTGAATCATATTGATTGTGTTTTAATACTTTCTGGCCAGAAATTGCGTTTTCCTTGAGGCTGTAAAACGATAAGCCCCCTAGAATGCATGTAGTTCACCAGAGAAATTGTGGTTTATACTTGAGTCTTAGTGTGTTTTTTTTAAAGCTAGTTGACTGCAGTTTTGCCACATTTTTCAGAGGTCCTTTTGTGCTAAACTTCTTATGCAGGCATAAACCTGTGAGAAATGTATATAAAGTGGAGTCAAGCTAAATTCAAGCTTATGGTGTTTATGAGAGTTCAGCCCATGTACAGTGTAGTGTAGTACCCCAGTATTCTTTGTTTCAGCCATGTGGCACAGTTTGTCCATGCTTGGAGGGCATGAGGATGATGTAATTTTTAGAGATGGTGCATGACTCATGACTAGAATAGACTGGTTTATAAGTTCTCAGGAGAGCTGCACTCTGCCCTGTATTAAGTTACTTGTTAAGTCTATGGTGCCCTGCAGAGAAATGTATATAAAGTGGAGTCAAGCTAAATTCAAGCTTATGGTGTTTATGAGAGGTGCCCTGACTCAGTTTGACTTGTGCAAGTTTAGTCCCTCTGTTTGCAGAAAGGATTGACCCCTTCTTGCTCTGACTTGACTGTTTGTCTCCTGAGAAAGTTCTTGGCCTGTGCTGAACATTGCCTAATTGACAAAGTCATTGACCTGTAGCCCATGTAAAATAGTGTGATAGCCAAGTCTTTTGTTTTTGTTTAAGAGCAGTGATGTTCAAGGTTTTGGGGCATTGGATTTTACGTACAGAAAGTTTCTTCTTTTTAATTGTATTTCTTCATTTAAACTTTTGATCAATGATTGCAGATTACAGGTTCACCACTGTTCATGTTTTTATTTGATTTGATTTGTGACTTTGAAACCTGAATCGTTACTGACTTTTCCTTCCTTTTCTTGTATTTTTGCAGGTTTCTTGCTTGATTGCTTTAATTTTGCGACTATTTACTAGTGCTGTGTTGGTTAATAATTTAAGTCTGTGGTACTGGTTGAAGTTTGTCTTGGTTTAAGCATTATTATTGGTTTAAGTTAATTGGTTACGAGTTGAGTACATTTCCTGGTCCATACATTTAAGAAACTCAGCTAAAATCACTGGTTCTGATTGAGAGGTTTGTTTGGGATTTTTAATTTGTTCGCATTGAAATAAATATTTTTTTGTTGTTCTTTGCTTGTTGAAATCAAATTTGATCTTCCTTTGTCATTTCCTTTTTCAGAATATCCTGCGACTCTTCCTTTTGATCCCTGTCTTTTTTTCCAGGTTACACAGGCACCTCCAACATCGGGGCGAGTGAAGCATTGTCCCTGGACTACCAAGGAGATGATAGGCATCACAGACGGCCTGCACAGATTCTTCCAGTTGAGGGAACTTCCTGTCAAACACAACATTGAAGCAACTTGTTCCCTGGCACTGCACACCCGACTTTGGAGGAACATCAAAGACTTCTTGTAACACAATAAAGCTCAATCCAAGCAAAGAGTTGCATATCAGAGGCAGCTGAAGCTATTTTTTTTTAGAAACAAAAGCATAACAATGACCTACTCTGAAGGACACACCAATAACTCGGCATAATGTAGATAGCTGGAACAACAAACTGCTGATGTGCGCACATCAGTGGTCCGTGCTATGGGTGGCACTCACATGTATGATAGAAGTGGTCTGTTGTCCTCTGTCTAATAGAATGGCAAGTATGTCCTGTATGTGCAGTCTGTACACGTAAAAGGGGACCACTTCTTTCGTGAGGCAAATTAGGACCGAGTTTTGGGGGATATTCCTCTGTTGTCCTCAGTGCTATGGGTGGCACTCACATGTATGACAGAAGTGTGTCGTCTTGTCCCCTTGTCTGACAACATGGCAACTATGTCCTGTATGTGCAGTCTGTACATGTATGGGTGTATGGGGGCCATTTCTTTTGTGAGGCAAACTTAATTAGGACCGAGTTTTGGGAATATTCCTCTGTTCCCACATCTTCAGCCCCTAAAAAAATAGACAAAATAACAAGCATTTGTCGCCACTATTAGGGAATAAATACTGGTATGAATGTGTTCATGTACACAGAGGATGTACAGAGGTATTATATTATGACAATATTATGAGGCAAACGTTTCTCATAAAATACTCAACTTTAAATGGGGGAATCTTACTGAGACCTTTGACACCGAATGAAGATCATGTCAAAGTGTTTGATTTTAAAGTGTTACTTTTTAAATCATACATTAGACGAACCCAAATGTTTTCCTAGTTCAAAGATAAAACAATGACAGTCTCAAATCTCAGATGCCATAATAGAAGTACGTGTATGTGTGTAGAGGTAATTTGTACATTCCCCAAACAGGGAAAAAAGTTAACTAACCTTATGGTAGTTAATATCTAAGCCTCTTCAACCTTTACAATGAGAACGAACAAGCCTTGACTATCCTGTTCTTTAACCACTTCGTGCCGGGGCATTTTTCAACGTTGATGATGCTGGGCCAGCATGACGATCATTTTTTCCGTTTTCAAAATCCTTCAACAATTTATCATTCCATTTAACAGTCGTTTATAGCAGCACGGAATAATCTTTAGGCACTACTCTAAGGGCCGGCGACCATTTAGACCCGGTTTGAAAAGGGCCCCCCGGTAAGCTCGGCCGGTTGCAAAAACCCCTTTCATACCGGCCTGGCTACCGGCC